AGATCTCTGCTTCTCAAGAGCATGTTCAGTGCATTGCTGGTAGCCTGGTTCTCTTCGGTCTACCTTGTCTATAGCACATTCAGCCCTGTCACCTATGGGGAGCCCGCGCTGTCTGTTACTGAACTCAAGGACTTGCGCTGGAAGGACAGCTGGAACATCCTTATCCGAAAACAGTAACACTCGCAATCCTGTTACAGGCAAAAGGAAACACCTTTTATGCAACGCCAGGAATTTATTGTTAGTATAATTGAAATCTTAACAGTCTGATCAAATAATTGATAGTAATCCAGATCTAATTACTACAGGACAAGAAAATAAAAGAATACTGTTACATAAAGGTCTCAACAGTAATATAGCTGTTACAAGTACAATTCCCAATCTCTACCAGTTACATTCACCCTTCCACTACCCCTCGGGGCGGGGGCGGGGGGAGGTCTGAAGGTTGCTGAAGAGCATGTGGCACGGGTTTCTTCCTCTTTCTGGGGAGTATGATATTGATGGCGTCTTCCTTCTTGCACTGTTGCACTTAGGGCTATTTTTCTATGTTCCCTGGCACGTTGGTCTGCAATTCCCTATTACAACAAATGACTATAAATGGCTACTCTCAAACATACTGGATAATCTTCTGGTTTCTTTGTTACCGCTAAAAGCTGGGTTTTCCCAGCTCCAAAGTTCACACATCTTTAACTATCAGTAATTGGCCCTGCAGTCTTCAGCATCATCCCATGACTGCATTCCTCAAAAATGCACTCTGCCCCCCACGTCAATGTTCTGCTATCATCCCTGGTTCATTAACTTGTAGCATTAAGCTAAGTTTATAAATAGTTCATTCTGCATAGAATAATGACTTGGTATTATCTATGTATAGTCATTTGCCATAAGCATAATTTTTATGAAGCTAAGCAAAAATAAAACAAATAGACATTAAAAAATTGCTGTTACAGCTAAAGAAGCTAAAACAAAGCTTCAGGCAGGCCGAGAAGTCAGCTAAAGCCAGAAGAATCATTTGGCCTTAGCCTTGCAGTTCCTATGAAGCCTGTGGCCTGTTACTAGCAACAGCAGTATTGTATTTACTGGGCTGCAGGGTTACACCTCAGATCTCATAGGAAGAGGCACTTCCTAAGAGTACGGTAGAAGTGATCAGGCTGACAGGGACTTGTACACACAGGTTCAGGGTAAAAACATGGTCATTAAGTCAGGCCATGCCCTGGCCTGCACCAGAGGAAGTCACAGGGTAGAAGGTGCACATGAAGGACTGGGATCACTTTGTGGGGATCTATAAGAGCACTGTAGAAATATTCAACAAGGGTTATAGTACCTGCACCACATTTGATTTGTTTTTTCCTCATGTGGCTATAGCAGCAGGACCTTACAATAAGCTCAAAGCTGACCAAGAACAGCAGTCCTAGAAAGACCAGGATGCTTTTACTGTAGCATTCCTTACTGCTGGTTCAAGGCTGGTTTGAGCCCCACACCCCACCCCCAGAAGGGATGATCAACCACCACAGTCATTCAAAGTAGGTTTTTAGTAACTATTTTGCTCCAACTTAAGTCAGTCCAGCTAGCTAATGCTTCAGTGCAGTGGTTCATACTCTAAGTGTGTCACCTTGAGCTCAACAGCACCCAGCAGCAGTTAGGAAATGAGCTGCTTCCTCCTTGGCATGGCAGAAGTGTACCACCAAACTGTGGTGATCACTAACTGCTAACAAACCTGTACCCATTTCCAGTGTTGAAAAGACTATAGCAATGAAAGTGCAGACCACATTTTTTTTTTAAAAATCTTTTTTTTTTCTCTAAAGCTTCAACCAGTAGTAAACTAAAGCTAACAATGTTGGGGGTGGGGGGGGGGAGACTGTTGTGTGTAAGAGCATCTCCAGTGATATGCCTTTCTGCTGGTGTACTGCAAGTAGCCGAAATCATTTTATATAAAAATGGTCATTTCTGCTCACTGTTTATTCATTTGTTTATTAGCCAAAGTAACACATCCACAACCAACATAGCCAGACCCTGGGTTTAGAAAAGTAGCAAATATGAAAAAGTTCCTCTTAATAATATTTCCCTTCCCTACTCACATTCTTAAAATTACACCCTAAGTCCAGACTCAAGGATATCACAAGGACATTTTCAAAGCCCAACTGGCACTTCAGATGATTATTTTTCCCCCAGAGATGTCATGTTGCTGCAGCATTGCTTATCTGGGGCAAACTACAGAAACCGGGAGCAGCCTCTTGTCTGCTCTTTTTTAGAAAAACCAGACATTCTTGAGTTTAAACTGCCTGAGTGCAAGGCAACCATTTTGGCCCTGTTTGAGGGTAGAAGCATGTGCAGAGAGCTGTTTGTGCCATCAGAAGGAGGGTCTTGCAATTCTCAGCTTTCTCCCCCATCTGGAAGTGGATGGATTCCACCCAGCAAAATCTGCAACCAGCAGTACAGACATGCCCTAAAAGACACTAATACTGACAAGGTCAGGTTTCTATTTCCATGAGCAACTCAATCCAGTTGGAGCTCACGCATTCAGTAACTGCAGTAAAGGAGACTATTTGGGTACCAAAAAAAAAATCATACAGTGTAGCAAGCTGAGAAAGGAATAATTTACGAACCAGAATCACACAACTTCTTGGGCCTATTCCCCTCGATGAACTGCAAGTCCCCATTTGTCCCAGATGGTCTCTGTTTCCTCTCTATCTTAGGGAAGAGATTCCTCTACATGTCACTCCTGCTCCCACATTCTTCTACATGCTAAAAAGGAGGCTGGCAGCAGGCGAGCACTGCCAGAACTCAAGGTCCCAGCAACGTGGAGAAGAGTAAAAGGACTGCACCTGCGTCTTAGAATTAACAGGATGAGAGTTAGTCTTGGATAAAGACTGATTTTTTTTTTCTTTTGAAAAAAAACAGGCAGCTGATTTTCCTGCTAAGGAAGATCATTATCAGGGAAATGGGGTATCTTGCTAATCATATGGTAGCGCTTAATTTTCAGGGGATACTTCAGCATTAGATGTCATTTTTAAAAATTAAAAAAAGGCAAATAGCATTGCCTTTAACCAGTTCATCAAGTAACATCGTAACTCCAGACATCACAGGGATAAAAGGGGAGGGATTTTGGAGGGGAGAGGGGTGGTAGAACAACTCCTTCCGCTCCCCTCTGCAAGGAGTTTCACATCAGTATCCCCTCCACTGGTAGGATGATTTAAAGGGCACTTCACCAACCACTCTGCTGAAGTCCTTCGTTCCCAAAGCGGTCTTCAGCATCAGTCTGGACCAGAGCCAAATCCTTCACACACTGACAGGTTAGTGTGGACGGCTGCTGGACTCCAGGTGGGAGCGTTTGCCGGCCGCTAGCACGCTGGTGCTCTCTGTTTGTTCAGGGAACGAGCGCTTGTAGGCCCGACCATGTCCATTCATTGCCCCTCGCTGCCACTTGCAGATGTCTCCATTTAGGATGTCTTGAATGTGCTGCACTATGAGGTTTATAGCAACTGCAGAGAGAAATGGGAAATATAGGACCCATAGGCTTTCTTGGCTGAGCTATCTAGAAAAACGGGAAGCATCCAGCCTTGTTCAGCTCAAGTTTTAACAACAAGCCCTTAAATGAAACTATGCCTGCCCTCTGCAGTGAGGTCAGACCGCAACACAAACCAGCACCTGCAACACCAGCTTTAGCGCTGGTGTCCTGGTTTGCATCTCCAAACGTGTGTCACTTTTTCCAGCCCTCCACAGGCCGAGCGGCTGGTCATTCTGCTCAGGCTCTGAGCGGCTCCCTCTCCCACAGCCCTCCAGCAAAACATCTTTCTGTAGAAGCATGCAAACAGGGCAGTGGCTTGCCACCTGCTCTCTTCCCAACCCCAAAGGTGGTCTCCCAGAGAAATCATACAGAGAACCAAACTCCCTTTTACCCATGTTGTCAACTCCTCGGGGGATGATCACATCTGCATACTTCTTTGTCTGCAAAACAGCAACGGTGGTGGAGACTGTTAGTGGGAAAAGTCAACTTTATTCCAGGAAGAAGCTACTAAACACCAGAAAGCTGAGGGCAAAGACAGAGAGGTTTCTGTGCTCTGGGGCTGCAAGTTAAAGCTCTCAGTCACAGTAACACCTAAATGAATTCACAGAATCATAGAATGGTTTGGGTTGGAAGAGACCTTAAAGATCATCTAGTTCCAACCCCCCCCCCGCTCCGGGCAGGGACACCCTCCACTATTGTGAAGTCATACTGGATAACAAACACGCACTGGATTTAAGGTCAGGGATTGTTCTTGCTGCCCCTTTGCAGTGAATCAGCAGGTAGAAGCAGTAGGTCAAGCATGGAGTACTTGCTTTTACACTTCTGAAGAGTACACTGCCTTCAAATGGGTCGCCTGCTTCAAGGCTGAGGTCTGTTTGCCAAGAGCTGGGTCTAATCAGCATTTCACAAGCCATTGCTAAATCTCTGCTGAGAGCCAAGGCACCCAATGTGTGTGTGAAATTCCTTCCTGCCTCTGATGACATTTTATTGATCTTTACCACCACAGAGCCCCTGCTTTCCCCCCCTCTACTTATAAAAAGGCTAGCAAATCAGCATTTCTAATGAGTACATTTACAATCCCAGAATTGCTTTGATCTAGAGCACGAGGCCCTTGAGCTAGCCATTTCCATCTTATTTAATCCACATGCAGGATTTTTTTTTCTCAAAGGGTTTTGTTTGGGTTTTTTTTACAAATTAATTTGATTACATGAGCACCTAAGTTGTATAGCCTAGCAAACAGACGCTCTAATGGTCTGCCCCAGGTTTTCACCAGTGCTCCCTGGTAAGAGAGATTCTGCTGGATAGCAAGCTCTTCTTTCTTCCTGCAAGACTTAAGAATAAACACAGAGTGGGAGTGTTTCAGTCAAAGGGACCCATGCTAAAATAGCCATGGCAGTGAGCAGTGAAAAAATGTGCACAGGCTCTAGGAAAAAATGTCCACAGTGCTTTGCAAGCAGAAGGGACCAACCATTTAAGTGCCTTAAACAAGCAGCTTGTAATGGTTAAATAGATGAGGCAGAGGGGAAGAGCG